AGATGAGGGTGTAGTGCAGCGGGTGGCAAATGGCCACGTACCGGTCATAGGCCATCACAGCATAGAGGATGCACTCAGTTATCCCCAGGAAGAGGAAGATGTACATCTGGATGATGCAGCCTGTGTAAGAGATGCTCTTCTTTTTGGCGAGGAGGTGGAGCAGCATCTGCGGCACAGTGGTGGTGGTGTAGCTGATGTCCAGGAAAGAGAGGTTGGCCAGGAAAAAGTACATGGGCATGTGGAGACGAGAGTCGATCCTGATAAGGGCAAAGATGAGGCTGTTCCCAAAGAGGATGGCTAGGTAGATGGCCAGGAAGACCAAAAAGAACAGCATCTGCATCCCGGGCTGGCTGGAGAATCCCAGCAGGATAAACTCTGACACGGAGCTTCTGTTCTGCCATGTAAGATTTCTCATCATGTCTTACATGACAGGGGGTGAGATGGGGTGGGGAGAGACAAATGATAAAAAACACATTCAAGGGGGATAAAGCACAGAAGGTTCATAGGTTCCATCTATCTCCACACATATGTGATCTTCATCACAGTAGTATCTGAGCGCCTCACAGTCAGCAATGGATTTTAGCCTCATGACAGCCCTGCGCATGAAGGAAGCAGACACTATCTCCCATTTACAGTTGGGGAAATTGAGGCAAAAGGTAGATTAAGTCATTTACTTAAGGACATCTTTTCTTTAACCAGATAACATCAGGGCAGCATCATACTAGGCTCTGTTTGTACATGTAACCCTTCTACCAGGTGGAGTTGGCAGCACTATCTAGAGGTTCCTCTTAACAATACAAAACAGAGCTGGCTCCAGCCCCCACCCAATAATCTGAGAAAACTAAATGCTACCCCTGGGCACTTCTAAAAGGCAATAACTGCCCCACTAGCAAGCAATGAATCTGTGTGTAACAAAAGAGAACTTTTATTACAAGGGAAAGGGAACCTGGAATTAATTTTGAGAAACACCCACAACCATGATTCCAAAGCATGTAACCCTAAGCAAACACCCACCTCACAGTGCATTGGGCAGTATCTTCTGCCTCAGTTTCCAATTGTGTGGAGAGAAAATCTAACCAACGAAAGTCCCTTTAACACGCCACTCCCTTTCCCTCCGCTGCACCCCGCTCATGGTTGGCTGTCCTTGGTCAGCAAAGATCCGGAGGTGTGTTCACCTCTCATCCCTGAAAATGAGAGGGGAAGGACATTGACCAATGCTGCTGCTGCTGTAGTCTGGTGCCACTTGGCATCGCAGTTATCTCTGCAGTCATTAGCTGCTTGCTGTTACCCCCTGTAGGCTCTGTAGTGTAGCCATAGCCCCAGAAACCTTTTCCTGATACCCAAACTAAATATCCCCAGCTGCAAGCTAAGCCAATTACTTCTTGTCCTATCCTAAGTTGATGTGGAGAAGAACTGATCACTGTCCTTTTTGTAACAGCCTTTTACATATTTGAAGGCCATTATTATGTATGCTCCACCTGCACCTCAGACTTCTATCCTCTAGATTACACATGCCCAGTTCTTTCCTCACAGCTCATGTTTGCTAAACAGCTTATCATTTTTATTACTCTCCTCTGGACTCTCTCCAATTTGCTCACAAATTCTTTAACTGTGGTGCCCAAGCTGGATGCAATAGTCCAGGCAAGGCCCCACCAGCGCTGAACAGAGTGGAACAATCACCTCCCCAGATTTACTGCTATGCTGTGGGGTCCAGAGCTGCGTTGGTCCAGTCGTGCAAAGCAGCCATCAACCTGGCTTAAACAGACAGGTGAACGAGCTGTATGGCTTCCTTGGCTGCTTTCCCCGTTTTGCTGCAGAGTGCTGTAAAGCACGCCTAGCGTACCAGTGAGTCTGGTGCACACTGTTCTTTTATTTGGCCAGGAACATACCAGTGAGAGGAAGTTATTAATATGGCCCACGATGGAGCAGAGAAGAATGCAACAGCTCAAAATTAAATCTCAGTCTAAATCTGATACATTGCCAATTTAAACAGTGATCGCTAAAGAAGGACATCAGTTCCACCCTGGTATTATGTAGTATTTTATATAGATTCCCAAATAATCCAAAAGTGTGTGTTTGTGGGGCATCAATATGCACATTTCAGCTCTTGGGGTAGGGGCTGCGTCTATGCATGTTTTTTTCTATCTCTGTTTTTGAATCTCTGTCCAGTGCCTGGTATGGTATATATATATCTTCCTACTGTATTTTCCACTGCATGCATCTGATGAAGTGAGTTTTAGCCCATGAACGCTTATGCTGAAATAAATGTGTTTGTCTCTAAGGTGCCACAAGTACTCCTGTTCTTTTAGCCACAAAACCTTCTCTAGTCCTCCCCTCATTCTGGATTTAACCAGTAGTCCATTTGTTCCAGTCTCTTAATTCTTATTTCTAGGAACATAGGCATTTCCAGACTGTAACAACTACTTGTCCATCTCCTTCAATCACCTATCTACAGCTGTGGCCAGTATCAGCTTTGAATTAAAGGAAAGTGTAGGAAGCCCCCTAGTGGTTAATTATGCAATTACCAGCCCACAAGGAAAGTTTCCCTCCTAAACCCCAAGACTTAGAAGTTAGTTTAGGTTCCAAAGTTTGAGAGTTTATATCCTTTCCAATCATTTGGTCATTAATTCTCACCAATATATATACAAATTCCTCAGTGTGGTATTTTCATCACCACAACATTCATTATAAAATCCACTTACCTTCATTTGTGAGAGAACAGCATAGTGTCTTTAGTTGTAAAAGTACAGGATCCGGATGTATTAATCAAAAGGATCACTTAAGCTAATTCCTCAGGCAAAGTTGCAGAACAGTGCCAGGTATTGTAGAAGACTTTTGGGTACCTCTCACTGGCTCCAGGTGTGGGCGAAAAAACGAATAAAACAAAGATAAATTAAATAGTTTGCCAGTGTATGATAAATTTAATGAAAATGTGTTTCGAACTGAAACTGATATGATATAGGAGGCATGAATTTACAATGCTACATCGTTACAGATTTTCACTAGGTTAGACTATAAATGGGCTGGAGTTTTTGTGAGCCACAGTTTTGGTCGTGTATGCATGCATAGCAATTGTTAATTTATTTTTCTTCAGCAGATTACAGAGTATTTGCTGTTTGTCCCATGATGTGAATCTGATTCACTGTCCAGCTTCAAAAAGGTAAACACAATACACTGGACATAAGCAAAGGCTAAAATAATAAAAATGTCCATATAACACTGTGTGGAAAAGATCAATCAACTAAAAGAATAAGGGTTAAGAGTGATTCGTTCACTTCTCAGGTCCACTGCTCTATGAATAAACCCAAAGGTTCCAAGGGTTGCCTGCAAAAAGGTTTGAGATATTTCAAAGGTGGCTTTAAATCCCAGGCCTTTCTTTGGTTTGTTTTTAAATAAACTCAACAAAGGCAAAAACAACTTGTTATTTTTCAGGTCTCTCAGGGGTTTTGTCCTCTAGCCATTCAATTAAAACAAACTTGTTAGCTGAAAATATACACAATGTAAAAAGTTACTTATCTGCACCCCATGTCCCCAGGATATGACTGCTTAAAACATACTAATGTGTTTATCTTCACCATTACCTGCTCGGTAAGTAAGGATTATTATCCAAATTTTACAGATGGGGAAACTGAGGCACAGAGAGACGGTGGAACAGGGTTCTTAATCAACAGCAAACCCCCATTGTAAAAGCCACTGTACAAACCCAGATGATGATGATGATGAGCAGAGTCCCTGTGTTGGGAAACTACAGTTTAATAAGCAGAACAGACAAAAGGTGGGAGAGGAGAAAGAGTTGAAGGATGAAATTAAATTATGACACCACTCAAGAGTATTGTCTGGTTACCATTTATTATATGGATTATTGTAACACCTAAAGGCACACTGGGCTGGGCCCTGCTTTAGTCTCTGCCCTGAAGATCTTAGTCTACATAGACAAGACAAAGAAAAGGCAGGAAAAGAGATGGCTATTATCCTCACGTTACAGATGGGGAGATGGGGCACAAAGAGATGGAGTAACTTGCTCAGTGTAGCACAGGGATTTGGAGGCAGAGAGGATGCAGGAGTGGATGGACCATGGGTCTCACTCAGTGCATCAGTTCTTATATTCCTTACTGAACCCAGCTTTATTGAGTTCCAGCCCAGTGTCTTAACCAAAATGCCATCCTGCTTCAAAGGGGTTTTTCTTTAATCTACTTTTACTTACGTTTATTCTGGATTATTATTAATTAATTTCAGTTGCCAAGAAATTATGGGGACAGATCTTACAAAAATGTGAGAAATCTCATCTCCCATTGCTGCCAGCATTTCACAACAGATGCTTGCCAAAAGGCCAGAGAGCTGGTATGATAGCATTCTGGTGATAGACACAGGCAAAATTTTTCAGACAAAACTCTTTTTCACTAAAAAAACCAAACAAACAATTTGGATCAAGTGAAACATTTTGCATATTCATGTCAATTTTGCCAAATTGTTTCACTCAAAAGCACAAAACCTAGACTACCACATTAAGAAAAAAATTGAATAAAAATCAAATTCTGTTTCGATAGTTTCAAAATGATTTTTTGATTCAAAATGAGATTTTGTTTCAAAGATCCCTTCAAAAAAAATTAGTGTTAAAAAAATAAGATCAGAATTAAAACAAAACATTTTGGTTTTGGGGTCAGATGAAATGATTTGCTTGACCCAAAAGAAATTTTTTGACTATTTATTTTGCCAATTTTTTTGAAATATCATTTTGGGATGATCCAAAACTATGTTTTCCCCCCAATCTTTCAAAATGACCAATGAACCAAAAAAATCAGTTACTCACACAGCTCTCACTGGAATTGTCTTCATGCACAGGGATTCTCAGGTGGCATCAAGCCAAATTGACCAACTTTGTACCATCCTCTCCTGCTCTTCCCCACCATAGTGGGGAGATATTCTAGGATTAAGAGGTCTCAGGTTTGGAATGCTTTATTTGCTGGTGACCTTGGCCATTAGAATGCCTTCCCCAGCCCTATGAAGCATAGCAGATGGCATAGCTCAGAATAGCCCTGAAGCTGCTGCTGTAATAAGAATAATAATCATATTACCTCTGTATAAGTCCCTGGTACTCCCACATCTTGAATACTGTGTGCAGATCTGGTTGCCCCCCTCTCAAAAATATATATATTGGAATTGGAAAAGGCTCAGAAAAGGGAAACAAAAATTCTTAAGGCTATGGAAGAGCTTCCATATGAGGAGAGATGAATAAGGCTGGGATGAATAAAACGAGTAAGGGGGGATGTGATAGAGGTCTATAAAATCATGACTGGTGTGGAGAAAGTAAATAAGGAAGTGTTATTTACTCCTTCTCACAACACAAGAACTAGGGGTCACCAAATTAAATGAATAGGCAGCAGGTTTAAAACAAACAAAAGGAAGTATTTTTTC